CCCTCAGCTCTTCAGCTCAAGGCTAGCGCTCTACCACTTGAGCCACAGCGCCACTTCTGGCTTTTTTCTTTTTACTTATGTGGTGCTGAGGAATCTAACCCAGGGCCTTGAGCATGCAAGGCAAGCGCTCTACCACTGAGCCACCTTCCCAGCCCTGGCCTGGAACTTGTGATCCTCCTTCTTAGCTTTCTGAGTGCTGGAATTACAAATGGGTGCCACTATGCCTGTCTGCAGGTATGATAACTTAAAAGCATGACAGTAGCACAAAAATAGTTGAGTTGATCTCCTAAATAAGAATGGATTTAATGCCCAGTGAAGGCATTTATTGTGATAGGAAAAATCTATAAATACTGTTGGGAAATTAAATTAGCAAGTTGAAAAAAAAACCTTAGATATTCACCTCACATCATATATGAAAATTAACTCAAGTGACTATTTTCTTCCTAATATACTTTATTGTTGTTTTAGAGGTGATTTAGGATAATAAGCACATTTCCTTTCACACAGTGTCATTGGTTCCCACATTCTCTCCCATGCCTTTCCTCCCACCTCTACGCACAAGTGAGTTGCATAGTTTACTTTCGTCATTATCCAGTATGCTCCACTGATGTACTTTTTCATCCTTTTTCCTCTGATTCTGTCTCTCCCCCCACCTTTCCACAGATGTGCAAGTGAGTACACTGTGTATAAGGTAACAGAAAATGAAAAAAAAAACAAATTAAGAAAAAAGTCCTTTGTTTCCTTATCTTTGGAGTTTGTTTCAATATGTGTATTACTTTATATACATATGAAGAGGCACTTGATGTTGCACCTTTGTGATTTTCTCCCAAGACTATCCACTTTTGGTCTTACTGTATGTTATTATCTAGAATTCTGTGTAATTTGTCATATCCCAGTGCGTTTTAGATCCAACTTCCACATATCAGGGAGAACATGTGCCATTTGTCTCTCTGATCTTGATTTGTTCTAGTTTCATCCATTTCCCTGCAAATACCATTATGTTATTCTTTCTAATGGCTGTGTAAAATTCCATTGTATATAAGAACCACATTTTTTGATCCATTCATCTATTGTGGAGCATCTATCTGGGTTGTTTCCACATCTTAGCTATTGTGAATAGTGAAGCAATGAACATAGATGTGCAGGTGTCCTTATCATATCTTGGCTCATGATGCTCAAGGTAGATGCTATCAAATGACAATTTAAAAATCCCTAAATTTACAAAGTAAATGTACTAAGTAGATAACAAACATTTGTACATATATTACGAAAGCAAATAAACAGCCTAACCTTAAATAAAAAAACCAAAGTGTGCACCAAAGACCAACACTCCTAGGAGCTATAGCTCCTTCACCCTTCACCCCTCTCTTTGCTGGCCAGTGGAGGAAGCAGAGCTGGCCTGAGCTCCGAAGTCTTGAGCCAGGGTGATAGGTGTGGAGTTGTGGATAGACCACATCCTTGGCAACCAGCTTGTGGAGATGCAGACTCAGAGAGTACTTGTGGCTTCTCCTGGGGTCTTATCTAAGCAGTCAGGATATTAGCTGAGACATACCCTGGGCTCCCATCTATACCTCCGTGGCTGTGAGTAGGTTCAGAGGAGAGAAGTGAAAATTGTGTTTCTTCCCAGACACTGTTGCTCTTGTGGTTTGGGGCTTCTGGATCTCCAGAGGGAACTGGTGGCCAGTGCTGTATCATTCTATCTGGTACAGTAGGCCTAAAAGTTGCATTTCCCATTGCACTGGTTCTAACATTTATTTGAACAAAAAGACACATTTGCACATACCATTTCATTGGATCTCTAGGAATAAGAAGAATTTATTAGTGGTATCTTAATGATGAAGACAGGGAGGATTAGTGTTTAAGGAAGCCTTTTCAGAGATTGTCTGTTACTCCAACATGGGTCATCGAATTCAGAGGAGGTCCTCCACTTCCCCAGTTCTGCTAGGCTTTCAGAATAACTTGTTTTTAGACTAATATGTAAGACCTTTTTATCCACTGGCCTCTCTTAACTTCTTGGCTGGCTCCCTTCCCCAACACATGACCACTATGCTTCACTATGCTCTGCTAACTTCTCATGCCCTCCACGTGTTTTCATTCCTTCCAGTATTATAGATAACTCCTTTTCATCTCATCAGATGCAATCTGATCTGACTTACTTCTGGTCCCTTCCCAGAAGGTTGCCAATCCCTGTTCCCAACAGGTGGGCCTCTCCTCACCTAATATCCAGTAGTTCCTTCTCTATGTGCCTCCTCTCTCTAGAATGTAATCTCTTGGCGGAATGTGCCAAATTATCTTTGAATGCCCAAGGGTCTAGGTCGATCATATAACAGAGAGTTCAAGTTAGTTGAATGAAAGATTCTAAATGTTCAGACCATACTAGTTGTTGGATTGGGGTTTTTTTTTTCCCCATATTTCAAAGTAGGATCTCATTATGTCACCTAGGTAGGCCTAGAATTCATGGTCTTCCTTCCCTAGCCTCCTGAGCAATAGAATTACAGCTGTGCCTCACATTGTCTGGTAGGATCAGATAATGTTAGCAGAGAGAACCCCTAACCTCTTGGGATGTGAGAACACAGAGACAAGCTTGATACAGTGGATAAGGGCTGGAAGCTGATGGCCTGGAAAGATGGTCTCCGTGGTGCCAGACCAACTGAGAATTATTCTTACATCCTCTTAACAGTGATTCATTCTCTTTTGTCCTGAGAGGATAAAGCCTGTGCTTCTTTTCTTCTCAGCCTCTAAGTTGCATGGAAATAAAAAAAAAAACTTCAATACACAGATAGTGAATAATCAACAAACCAGCATCGTCTCTTTAAAGTCATGGAAGCCAGGAGGAATGTATCCAATGGATTGTGTTCTGGCTCTACTTCCTACCCAGGGGACCTTTCCAGTGGGAATATCAGTGCTCCATCCCAGTCACATGATCTGAACAATAGGAAAAATGCAGAGTTCCTGGAGATACTTTGAGTGGCAGCAGGAATTGTGGCGACCCTGGGATTGTCCTGTACTTGTAAGCTAATGAGCTAGTGAGCCACAGGTTAATGGATGCTGGCAGAAAGCATGAGATTCCTGAGACAGAGACAAAGAACTTTACTAGTTTCAGTGACAGGAAAAGCAAGAGTATCAGGATTTTCTTGTGTAGGCCATGGGGCATCTGCACAGGTAGTGGGTCTGTCAAACAGGCTGACAATTGTGTCTAATAAAGAAACAATATGCTCTTTGTAGTCAAGACAGTGAAATCAGGATCATCAAAGGCATCAGCTTCTCTGATCCCTTGTCCCACAGGATGGCAGAGAAACCAACAGGCCAGATGGCAGTGCATTGTGGGTAGTGAGGTACTGAGGAGCCAATCTTTGCAGAAGCTGAGCAGGTTTATAGGATTTGCTGAACCCTATGTGGGGGATGGGTGGGATGAGGCAAAAGAGACTCAGATCTCCTCAGAATATAGACCCCATGAAGATGGCCACCATAGCGACGTCAGCCTCCATGAAAAATAGGGAGGTAGGTTCCAGGTGCCCGTGACTCACACCTGTAATCTTAACTATTTAGAAGGCTGAAAGCTGGAGTATCTCAGTTTGAAGCCAGTCTGGCCAGAAAAGCGTGAGACACTATGTCTAATTAACCATCAAATTGCCAAAGTGGACACAGAGCTCAAGTGGTAGAGCACCAGCTGTGACCAAGTGAGCCCACTGAGAAGTCAAGGCTCTGACTTCAAGGTCCTGTACCAGCACACACACACACACACACACACGGAGGTGTGTGAGAAATGACTTTGTAGCTGCTTCTCATGTTTTGTGTTTTTGGGGACCGCAGGCTTTCTAGGCAGATCAATTGTAATCACAATTGATTATAAGCACAATTGTAAGCACCATGCTGGTGTAGCTTATGTGGAAATGTGCAAGGGCACTAGGGTGCCATAGTGGAGGTAGAGTCACCTGGCTAGAGAGTGGTAACACCTATGGATCTACAGAGGTGGCCACAAGCAATGACTACAAGGTTGGCACCATTCCCTACCCACTTGGGAAAGGGTAAGGACTTGAGTGTGGTTGAGCTACAAGCATGCAGAAGGAGGGATGAGAAGACTCTCAACAAAATAAAACAAACAAAACCCTCTCCAAAAAGTTGTCCAGGTGGTTAGCGTGTGTTAGACTATGGACAGATAAATATGTACCCATATGTAAATACAATCTTTTGAAGTCTTTGGCTGACAGCAACTGCGTTATCTTTCATTCTGTATGCTTTTACATATTCTGGATGTGTGTATATAACTACTCAAATACATTCAGATGTGGTATTGTCTTATCTGAATAAAATCCATCTGGACATTTACAATGGACTTCAAGGAAGGCAGTGAACTACCTTTCTTTCCATTAGCAGCTTTGTGCAGGTCATCAACTTGGAAAGTAAGGGAGCTGTGAGCTACTTTGGGGAGATTTTTGGGCCAATTAAATCTTATTTCTATCATCTCAAAATCCCCTTCGACTTGTTTTCACCACTCCTTGTTACTGACCCACTACAGGGAGATCTTTTGGCACCCCCAAGTGGTAGTCTGGGTCAAGTCACAGAAAATGTGCCTTGCCTGGGATAGGTGGATAATAGGTAGACACTTGGCGTAGACACCATGACTTCGTCTTGAACATGTGGAACTCAATGTAGAAGGGCAAGAGCAAGTTGCAAAAGTAATTAGATGGAAATAAAATTAAGCATAGGTACAACAATCAGGGACCTGGGCTTGATTGTGCTTTGGTAACACTGTCAACCAATCTGACAACATTTTCAGGTTTCTGTTTCTGAAAAATGTTTTCAATAACTATTTGCATGTAGTACAATGCATCAAAGCTATATAAAGATATAGAGGGGTGGGGTGCTGGCTACTTTATGCTACTTAGGGGGCTGAGATTTTAGGATTGTGGTTCTAATCCAGCCTGGGCAGAAAATCTATGAGACTATAATTGGTTATTTCCAAGTAACTAACAAAAAGCTGGAACTAGAGATGTGGCTTGAGTGGACAGAGCCCAGGGAGAGCATGAGGGACTGAGTTTAAGCCCCAGTACCACTATCAGAAGGAAAAAAAGATACAGTAGGGTGTTTGTTTCCTCTTACTACTGATGCTGGACCCCAAGATCCCCAGTGGTAAACAGTTACACCTTTTGTTAAATTTCTGAACTATGAGAACACTTTTGAGCATTAAGAGATAAAGCTTAAGTGGCAAAGATCTCCTCAAAAAAGGTTCTGGGTTAGTATCATCTTCTAATATGAATAGCTGTTCTCTTTACAAACTTATTTGTAAACAAGATAAATATCTGTCTTATGAAATGAGGTTTATTTCAACATTTATGTCTTCTTGAAAACATCTTGGGAATCTGTTCTTAACAATTCCCTTCAACCATGTTTCCATAAACTTCTTTATGGAAGGTCTTCACTCAGTCCTGATATTTTGGGTAGAAATAACTTGGAACTCTTTTGAACTGTCTGGGAACATTTAAAATCTTTTTTTTTTCTTTTGGTTGTGGGGTTTGGACTCAGGGCTTAGGCTCTGTCCCTGAGCTTTTGTGTTTAAGGCTAGTGCTCTACCACTTTAACTCAGAGCTCCACTTCCAGCTTTCTGGTAATTAGTTGGAGATAACAGTCTTGTGGACTTTCCTTCCTGGACTGGCTTTGAACATCGATT